GCTTTGATGTGTCATGCACATTTTTCTCTATTTCTTTTCATCGTCAACATTAATGTTTTGTAATAACATTTTTGATTGCATTTACATTACTTTCTGATTATAGGCAAGTTTTGCTCTGTCAAACGGAGTTTGAATTTTGTTATGGAAGTCGTGGTTGTTTGTTGACACATTCTAAAACCGGGGTTTACTTAAATCTACGAGAATTGTTGACTTTATCTAATGGCAAACATTTAAGAGTTATTACTCTGTGAACAATTCTGTGCAAATACACGGAAGTGAAAGTACAGAACACTTTCTTGGTCAGTGGAACAGCTGTCTTCGTAAGACACGTAAACATGTTAGTGTGTTCCCCGTTGCCAAGTTCTCAGCTGGTAGTCTTTGTTAACTAACATGAGCACGTTTCAGTGCGTCAGGTCTTGTTTTTAATTGATGAGGTACTGCTGTATGATATTGCTTCACTTTATCGAAAACCGGGCTATAGGTCAGTACAATGTGTAATTTATTTAATTATTTCTTTTGGATCGTTTTAGTATACTTAAATCATGGGGCTAGTATTTCTTCAAACTATTGAAGCACCATAGATTGAATGTGCCATTCACATGCTTCAACTGGTAAAAGAAATCTCTCTGCTTGGGAAGTGCAAGCAATGAGAGGTAAAATCGCAGAGAACCATAGAGGGCTGATCTCTTTAGAGAGGGATGACTGCTGGTGCCTTAATCTAGGAACACCATTCATCAAGTGAGGGGCAACGTTAACAAGACGTGATCTACATGGTGTTCTCTGTTGGTATGGAGGAATCAGACCTGTGCTGTCAGCATCTCACTGAGCTAACAAACTCCTTTCTGCTTTTACTGCTGTCGACATCCTGTCACTCTCAGAACATATTAGGCTCTCAATGTAAAGATGTGCTTTCTACAACAACTGGCTCTTAACTGCAAAAGGGGAGAAGGGAAATTTCAACAAATTATTCATGGATATTTGAATATCTCTATTCAGGCAAAAACGGCAGTGTCAGAAAGCAATATGCCACCCTTCTCTAAGTACAGAACCTAGACTCAAATTAATCAATGTCCATGTTCCGTACTAAGTCCAGGTAACAATAAATTGGGCATATTTTGCTCAATCATTGATTGGATCATCGAAATGACAACCTGGAAATGGGAAAATGGTAATGCAGCGTTTGCAAAGTAGGCTGTGTCATCATATACAAGAGAATTCTGAGAGTTACGTATGTGAGAGTAAATCAATTGATATGCTTAATGAAGCTATTTAACGGATATTTTAAAAGACAGCTGAAGTGAGGTTGGATCTAGATTTTAAGACTCAAAGAAGTGATAGTAGCTAGCTTTATCTACAGGAAATGAGAATTGGAATTGTGAAAGAAAACTGTTGTGATTTTGCCAAAACACATGAAAAGTCAATCAACTCAGTGGCAGGTAATTTAAAACGCCCCAAAGTTAAATGGATGTAAATATGGCACTTTTTCAGCTAGGAACTAGCAACCTGATTTGCGCAACATGTCTGAATCTCCGAATCTACTCTCAGGGAAAGGGTCCTCCAGCATATTATTTGCGCCATGGTCCAGACCAGACCCCCTCAAAATATTTTAAGTAGTTATCCTCGACCCAAACTTTTTCTTATTTTAAAGGTAGATGTGAAGTGTGTGTTCCGGATGTGATGTGACTGGTCAAACTACTCGATGTTAAGCAAAACACAATTTACTTAAACACAATAAAGTGGAATTTAGAGTAACATATATTGGAAAACCTAACCGAATAATAGATACAGCACCTATTACCGATTAACTGTTCCAGTATGGTAACATTCAACATTAAGGTAAATTCAGACACAGATTCATACAAGCAGTTTTCCAATCCAGGAGGAAACAATGTCGAGAAGATTTCAGAGGAAGTAGCAGCTAGGAATCATTCAGTGAAACAGCAACTCTTCTGGGATCCCTAAAAGCTTCTGACAGTTAAATCTCACAAAAAAAGCCTGGTCTTTAAGAGCAGGCCACTCCTTTTCCGTTGTTACATTTTAAAGAAAAACTTAAAAGCCTCACAAGTTATTTACTTAAGCTGTTTTCAGTAGCCAGTCCGTAACCTGTGTCTTTACAACTTCTCTTCAAAAAAAAAACTTAGGACAAATTAAACTGTTTAACGTGACACTATTGTCACATTTGTATCCTCAGAACTTCTCAAAGTATGCATACATTTCATCATTTAGAGTGTGTAGAACAACGAGAAAACATTGTAAGCATTTCAAGTTAGAAAACGAAGGGAAAACTTCTTTCATGGGTCCTGCCCTGTTTTGCAACCTTTTAAAATGTTTTTGAATCACATGGACTGACTGTAATTACCTTTTCTAGTGTCCCAGAATTGCGTGGTCAGTGAGAGAGATGAAAGAAAAATCAACATTTTCAAAGTAACATTTTACCATCAAAAAATTGTTTTCAGATTTGAAACGCATTTAAATTGGGAAAAAGTTAGGAAACAAATGTATCAGAGGTATCGTCTATGTGGGGAAGCTCTTGGAGAAGATATTGAGGAACAAGATATTTGCACATTTGGTAGAAAATGGACGAGTTAATGACAGGCAGCATGGTTTTGTACGGGGAAGGTCATGTCCCACCAACTTGATTGGGTTTTTTGAAGAAGTGACAAAGATTATTGATGAGGAAAGGGCTGTGGATGTAATTTACGTGGACTTTACAAGGCATTTGATAAAGTCTCACATGGCAGATTGTTACAAAAACAAAAATTACATGGGATTCTGGGTGGGCTGGCTAGATGAAAACAAAACTAGCTTGGCCATACAAGACATAGGTTAGCAGTGGAAGGGTGTTTTTCAAAATGGAGGCCAGTAACTAGTGGTGAACAACAGGGATCAGTCTTAGGTTCTCTATTGTTTGTAGTATATATAAATTATCTGCAGTCAAATGTGGGTGGACTGATTAGTAAGTTTGCAGATGACGCGAAGTTTGGTGGAGCTACTCATAGTGAAAACAATTGTGAAAGGACACAACAGGATATAATTAGTGTGGTGAATTGGGAGCAGAAATGGCAGATGGTGTTTAATCCAGACAAATGCAAGGTGATGCAATTTGTAGGATCAAATTTAGGTGTGAATTATACTGTAAATGGCCGAATCCTTAGGAACATTAACATGAAGATGGACCTGGGCGTGCAGGTCCGTAGTTCCTTAAAAGTGGCAACACAAGTGGGCAAGTTGATTAAGAAGGCATATGGCATGCTTGCCTTCATTGGCCAGGGTACGGAGTTGGCCAGCCATGTTGCAGCTATATAAAACCCTGATTAGGTCGCATTTGGAGTATTTTGTACAGTTTTCGTCGCCACAGTACCGGAAGGATGTGGAAACTTTGGAGAGAGTGAAGATAAGGTTCATTAGGATGTTGCCTGGTCTCGAGGGCATTGGCTATGCGGAAACGTTAAAAAGATTAGGATTGCTTTTACTGGAAAGACAGCAGCTGAGAGGACACCTGATAGAGGTCTATAAAATTACGACAGGCATAGACAGGATGGATAGTCAGAGGCATTTTCCCCTGGTTGAAGTTTCGATTACTAGGGGGCACAGCTTCAAAGTGAAAGTGGGAAAGCTTAAGGGAGATGTGCGAGGGAAGTTCTTTCATGCAGATAGTGGTAGGAGCCTGGAATGCACTGCCAGAAGATATGGCGGAAGCAGGCACACTGGTGACATTTAAGAGGCATCTGACTGGTTACATGAATCAGGAGGGAATAGAAGGATATGGACCGAATAAGGGCAGAAGTCTTTTTTTTAGTTTAGTTAGAGCATGATGATCAGTACAGACTTGGAGGGCCAAAGGGCCTGTTCCTGTGTTGTACTTCTGTTTTGTTCGTTTGTTCTTTTGTAAACATGCAGCGAGTTATAATTCAAACAATCAAACATAGATAACACTTAGACAATGCCAAAGAGTTATTAATTTCACAAACTAAGAAATGAGGAGAATTTGAAAGAAGATAATTTCAAGGAAATCTTGACAATTTCATATGCTTGCCATATTCATTTTAATGCCCGTTCTGGAATGTGGACATTAGTACTGATCAAAAATGTGTTTCCTACCTTAGCATTTGAAAGCTGTCTCAGATCATTGTTGACGTCTGTGACTGTTTTTTTTTGAGCAACTGAAGGAGTGATGTGCACTATCCAGTTTAGAAAGTAAGGGCTGATTAGGGGTTCATGTATGTGTACCTTCAAAATGTTCGACCTTATAGGTCTCATTACATTTAACACACTATTTAACATGGACCAAAGTGTAAGACATGGAGGAGGGATAAGCTATTCAGCATGTAATATAAAACAGTTATACAAGATTCGAAATTGGAACACTTTTTACACAGGTCAATGCATGCCTTACAGAAAGAATGGAGATTGTTAAAGGGTAAAGAATACCATCACAGGATAGTCATGTGGATGTCTGGAAATGAAACAAATGATCATAGAAATCACAATACCGTAAACCTTCTGTTTCATTGTGTTAGAGAACAGTGAAATCACTTGGCTTTCCTTTGGTGAGAATTAGTGACTCATAGGGGATAGAAAGGCATAACGGAAGAATCACATATAGATTGTAAATTGCATTATATTTACAAATCAATGAGATTTCCTGACTGCTGAGGGACTTTTTTTCTTTAACGTCTTCTGTGACATAGAGAATAATTCTCACTGTTAAGAGATCATCCATCGCAATTTCGTTCTAGACATTGTTACGGGCACATGAAGAAACAATACATAAGAGTGTGTTACTTCTTAATAAAATTTTTAGTTGTACAACATTAAATCTGGGTATTCGCACTTTTACTTCAGACCTTGCAGCTTTAAGAAATCAACAGTACTTTGATTGGTCGAATTTGAACGTACAGCTATTCACCAATCAGGAGCTGAGAGGTGATTAGGGATCTGGACAGCCCCCTTCACTACCCAGACACCATCACGTCCGATCAGACGCTGAGTAATATTGGATAGCGAGCAGCTCGGAAGGAATTGCTTAACTATCCAGTTAAATTTTCAGAGAAAAGTAAAAGACTTATAGTAAACAATCCGAGCGGTTCGTGAAACATTCAGGTATTTACGACATCGCAATTGTTTCGGATATAAAATACATTCATATAACCTGAAAGAGGAAAGCTGATGATGCGGGCACGTTCTGAGAAAAGGGGGAATGTTTGAAGCTGGAAATGAGATATAAATTATATAGGCCTCTAAAATGCCAAATCTTCTACTGTATATTTTCTTTGTGGAATCTGGCGTTTGGGCAGATTCGTTATTCAATTCCTGAAGAACAACAACTCGGCGCCTTTATTGGGAATGTTGCTGTGGATTTGGGTTTAGATGTAAAGCAGCTGTCGGCCCGCAATTTACGGATTGTGCACGGTCCAAGCACACAATATGTTGATATCAATTTAGACAGTGGTATTTTATTTGTGAAGGAAATAATTGACAGAGAAAAGATTTGCGGGCCGAGCTCCAGTTGCGTGCTATTCTTGGACGTTTTCCTTGAAAACCCATTGAAGCTGTATCAGTTTGCAGTGGATATTTTCGATATAAATGATAATGAGCCCAGTTTCCCTAATAGACAATTGCACCTTGAAATTTCAGAGCTTTCTACACCAGGAACGCGTTTTACCCTCGAGTCCGCGCATGATTTGGACGTTGGAACCAACTCAGTGCAAAACTACGAGCTCCTTCCGAACGATTATTTTATTCTTGATGTACAAACGCGCAGCGGTGAAGGAAAATTGCCGGTATTAGTACTGCAGAATGCTTTGGATAGAGAAACGGAATCCAGCCACAGTTTAACGCTAATCGCAAAGGACGGCGGAGTTCCGGTGAAATCGGGTACGGTTCAGATAACAATCCTTGTTAAGGACACAAACGACAACGCCCCTGTCTTCCCCCAGTCAGTTTACAGAGTCAGCCTATTGGAGAATGTAACCACAGGAACGCAGGTAATCCTATTAAATGCCTCTGATTCAGACGATGGTTCCAATGGAGAGATAACCTACTCGCTCAGTAGCTACTGTTCGGCCAAGGCTCGGGAAAAGTTTGCCGTGAATCCCAAAACCGGTGAAATCCGAGTGAAAGGGAACCTAGACTATGAAGAAAACAAAGCGTTTGAAATTAACATACAAGCTGCAGACGGAGGTCCTGATGCTATGTCGGGGCACTGTGATGTTTTGGTGAATATTATTGATGTGAATGATAACCCACCTGAAGTGAAGTTGACGTCTTTGTTGAGTACAATTTCGGAAGATGCGCCAGTTGGGACTGTAGTCGCTCTGTTCAGTGCAGCAGATAAAGATTCGGGGAGAAATGGGCAGATACAATGTCAAATATCAAACAAACTACCCTTCAGACTAGATTCTTCATTGAAGAATTATTATGGAATACTTGTTCAACATTCATTGGATCGTGAAATTATCTCTATGTACGACATTGCAATTACATGCATGGATGCAGGAAATCCATCTCTTACATCCGAGAAAACCATTCGCGTAGAGGTTTTAGATATAAACGACAATGCGCCACAGTTGACGCAGTCTTTACACACAGCAAACATAATGGAGAACAACGTTATTGGAGCTTCTATATTTTCCGTTGCTGCCTTTGATCCGGATATTGGAGTGAACGCTCGACTGAAATACCTAATTCTGAGGACTGAGGTTCACAACGCTGCGGTATCCAATTACGTCTCTATTAACCCAGAGACGGGCGTCATATTCGCTCAGCAATCGTTTGACTACGAGCAACTGAAAAACTTTCAGATTCAAGCTCAGATCATGGACTCTGGGACACCACCTCTCGCAAGCAATGTATCAGTGGATGTTTTTATTCTTGATCAGAATGATAATGTTCCAGTCATTGTACAACCATTAGCGGAATTTGGGTCAACAGCAGTTGATACAATATCCAGGTTTGCAGAACCAGGCTATTTGGTTGCCAAAGTATCGGCCACTGACGCTGACGCCGGTCAGAACGCTCGCCTCTCTTATTCCATTTTTCAAGCTACCCAGCATGGGCTTTTTACTATTTCACCAAACAGCGGGGAAATTTGGACTATCCGTCGTATTGCGAGCAAAGATGCCTCTAAACAAAGGTTGGTGATTCTGGTAAAAGATCATGGAATACCATCATTTTCTGCCACAGTGACCATCACCTTATCTGTGGTTGGTGGTGACACTGAAAGATTGTCCAGCGTCAGTGGCTCGTCTGATGTTCCCGAATCCACTCCTGATCTGAGCATTTCCTTGGTCATCGCTTTCGGTGTAATTTCTTGCACGTTACTAGTGATTTTAATTATCCTCGCTGTGAAGGTCTATAGAGACAGAAATGCTTTGAGTAATCAGCACTGCTCTCTGGGATTCTGCTGTCGCTTTGACACCAGACATTCTGTGAATGAAATTCAAAAAACCAGTAGAAACCTTCGGATACCCCCAAATTATGTTGAGGTATTTGGGGGAGATCCACTTTCGCAAAGTTTTCGTTATGATTCATGTTCAACATTGCATTCAACAAGAAGAGACTACAAAACTGCCAATACATGCAGGTCGTATACAGACAAGAATTTTGTTCAGAATGAGTCTCTCGGGAAAGAAAGCACGAAAGTGGTTAATTCTGAATATAACAGCCAATCTGTAAACAACGAGGTGAGAATCTTCTAAAAAGGAATAAGCTTTTGCATGTTTCACTTTAGTATCTGGATATGTGTGTCTTGAAGTTAACGTCATGAAAGTAAGAGCGTAAATGCACCATTCGCACTTTTCATTTCTGTTTCTGTCTCTTACCAACAGTAATGGCCCTATATCGTAACTTGTAGGACGTATTTACATTAGTCTGTGGTTATATGAAACTTCTACGTTGTCAGCCTGAGTTTTAGTTGTTCTGTGGAAGTCTCGTTTTCCTGCTGTCAGTTTCTAAAACCGCTGGAGTTACTTTGAATCTATGACAATTGTTGGCATTGTCCGGTGATAATCATTTAAGTTTTACTCCTGATATTGTATTCTGTGCAGATGCATATCTATTTATTGGACATTAGAATAGCTTTTCTACACAGGTCCTGTGTGGAAGTTTTTTTTCCCCCAGTGCCAAGTCCTCAGTTCGTTGTTAATATTAATTAATATCAGCATGTTTGCGAGTCTCAGATCTTTGTGAGTTGCTGAGGTAATCTCGTATTCTACAGCTTCACTTTGAGTGTTCATAATGTGTTTTAGCTCAATTCAAAACATTTTTAAATATTTATTTTGAAGTTTTCTAGTGAGCATAGATTATAGGACTCATATTTATTCAAACTGACTTTTAAATGTCATAGATTGAACGGTATGAACGGTCAAATGGTAAAAGCAATCGCCCTGTTCTGGAGATTTGGAGATACTTCCAACGAGATTAGCTGCTGTCACTGCAGTCTACCTCCAATCAACCTCTTTGAACCCATTGTGCACTGAAGTGGTAAATTTGATCTCTGTGATATCAGGTTGTTAAAAGTAAAAAGGGAAGGGAGAATTATATCAAATTATTCTGAGTAAATTTGAAAACCTGCCTTTCAGCTGAAAAGGTATGTTTCAAAGCAATATGCCAACTCTCTCTGATGTGTTGGAAATTTGATCAGCCCGTGTTAATACTGCACTGGAAATTTGCATAATTAAAAATTGTGTACCAATTAGAACAGGAGATTGTACATTTGGGAAATCACCAGAAGATAATGAAATATTATTTTAAGCTTGCTAGCATTTTTCAGACTTTTGTAAGTATAGAACCTAAAATCAAATTGAACAGTTTCCACGATCAATGAAAGGTGATTTTACTCCAGCCCAGCTACCATCTAAATTGAACAAACATTTCTAAATCATTGTCTAGATCATCAAAGCAACAACTGGAAGTATAAAATTAGTTATGTGGTATTTTTAAAGGCATGTTTATCCATAATATATAACATAATTATTTAGGCTGTTGCTCAAGTGAGACTAAATCGATAGATTTGATGTTGAACTTGTACAAGGTAACTCGTTAGATCTCACCTAGAGTTTGTGTACGACTTTGGGTACCACATAAAAGGAAAGATGCAAATGAATTGAAAAGAGTGTAAAAGCAATATAGTAGAATAGTTACAATGCGAGAAACTCCAGTTATGAGGGTAGATTGGAAAAGTTAGGACTGTTCTCCCTGGACAGAAGCAGGTTTACTGGAAATCTGATTTAGATTTGTAAAAATGGACAGAGTGGATAGGGTGAAGCAGTTTAACTGCTAATCGAAATAAGCATAAGAGAGCATACATTTCAAGTGGTGTGCAAATGGAGTAAGTGTGATGTCAGACAAGAACATTCTCACACAACGAGTTTTTAGGGTATGGAGTGCACTCCTTAAAAATATGGTGGAGGTCCTGCAGAGGGCTTTGGATGTTTTTTTTTTTCGATAGATTGGTGTGCAGGCAAATGGGGAAAAGGCAGTAGATTGACACTACATTATAGGACCGAACTAGATGCATGGAGATAGTGCGGGCATAACGGGCTGAATTTATTCTTTCTGCATTGTAATAATTCTGTGATCCTTTGATATAATCATAGAAACTATACACTAGACATTTCAATACACTACAGGTGAGGCTGGATTTGAATACTAAGACTCAAAGAATCAATGGCAGTTCATCTATACCATATAAAAATTGGAATTGTTGCACAAAACTGTGATGATTTTTTCAATGTACAAGACACTCTGATCGATTTAGGAACTTTTAATCCAAGAAGTGCTGAGAGCAAATAATTACAGCTGTGGTTTTGATATAACTTCATTCAGGAAATAGCAACCTAGTTTACAGTACATACCTGAAACTCCTATTCTGTTGTCAGGGACACGAGCTTGCGCTTTCACTCGTTATTTATATGCTCAGACCTCATAAGATACTTGTATTTCACGACACGATTTGGAGATCAAAGAGATTTGGAGATTCCGAGAATGCAACAGGTGGACGTCATGGAGACTGACTTGAATCTATAAGTTTTAAAATGTTCCTGAATTATATGAACATGCTGCGTACACTTGTACGTACGTACACTTCTCAGTGAGATAGAATTGCGTGGACGGTCAGTGGGGTGAAGGAAATATCCCTACTTTCAGGGTGACAATTGGCATAGTTGTTTGAAGATATAGAGTCACACCACACAGAAACAGGCCCTTCTGTCCTACTCGTTTATCCTGACCAGGGTTCCTAAACTCAACTGTATGGCCAATATCCCTCTAACTCTTTCCTATCTATGTACCTGCACAGACTGAAAAGTATCTAACCTGGAAGGTAAATGAGTAAATGCATGCATTATCAGTTACAAGAGTGAAGTAAACTGTTGAATGATGATTAATCCAACAGGAAGCAGAAACATCGAAACTATAGAAACTAGGGTCAGAACTAGGCCATTTGGACTTTCAAACCTGCTCCACCATCCAATACGATCATGGCTAATCCTCTGTCTCGTGACATGTTCCTCCTTTCTCCCCAATCTCTTTGGTGCCTTTAAAATCTAAATATTTATCCATCTCCTTCTTAAATATATTCAGTGAGTTGGTCTCCACATTCATTGATGGATGAGAATTCCATTGGTTCACGACCATTGGAATGAAGAAATACTTCCTCATTTCAGCCTTAAATGGCATACTCCTTATACAAGACTGTGACCGCTGGCTCTAGACAGCCCAACAAGAAAAAAAACATCTTCGCTGTATTCTGTCTGTCCAGCCCATTAGAATTTTCTACGTTCCAATCAAATCTGCTCTCATCCTTACAAGCCCTCATGATTACAGAACCAGTCGAGCCAATCCCTTCTCACAGGCAATGCTTCCCATCCACAGTACTAGCCTAGTGAATCGTCTTCCACACTGCCTCAATGGAAAGTATATCGTTTCTTAGGGAGAGAGTCCAAACCTGCACACAATACTCAAGATTCAATTTCACCAAGCCTTGTAGTAGTAAAACACCCTCCTTCTGATTGCATATCTTCTTGCAATAAAGGACAATATATCCCCTGCCTGACTACTTTCATTGGCAGACGTGCACGGACACCAGGGAGACAGCAAGAACTGCAGATACTGCAGTCAGGGATAACAAAGTGTGGGGCTGAAGGAACACAGCAGGCCATGCAGTATCAGAGGAGCAGGAAAGTTGACGTTTCGGGTCGGGACCTTTCTTGGGAATGGCTCAGATCTCGATAATTGTAAACGATGCAAACGACAATGCTCCCGTCTTCTCCCAGTCAGTTTACAGAGTCAGTCTATTCGAGAATGCAGCCACAGGAACGCAGGTAATAATATTAAATGCCACTGACTTGGACGATGGTCCCAATGGAGAGATAAACTATTCTTTTGGTAGCCACGCTTCAGCTGGAGTTCGGGACAGTTTGGCATGGATTCTAAAACTGGTGAAATCAGAGTGAAAGGAAAGTTGGACTATGAAGAAATCTCCGCCTTTGAAATTAACGTACATGCTACAGACGAGAGGTCTGAGGTTATGTCGAGGCACTGTGAAAATTTGGTAAATATTATTGATTTGAATTTTTACCCACCTGAAGTGACTTTGACGTCTTTATCGTGTAAAATTTCGGAAGATGCTCCAATTGCGACTATAATCGGTTTGTTCGCTGCAGGATAAAGATTCCAGCAGAAATGGACAGGTACATTGTCACGTTTCAACTAAACTACTGTTTAAACTGGATTCCTCTTTAAAACATTTTTATGGAATACTTATTCATCATCCAATGGATCGTGAAAATACCTCCAAGTATGACGTTACAATAACGTGCACGGATGCTGGAAATCCTGCACTTACATCGGAGAAAACTGTTCGGGTCAAGGTTTCCGATATAAATGACAATGCGCCACAGTTTAGTCAATCTTTATTTACAGCAAGCATAAGAGAGAATAATGATACTGGCGCTTCTATTTTTTTCATTACAGCCTTTGATCCCGATATTGTGTGAACGCTTGACTGAAATACGCTCTCCTGGAGATTCAAAATCAGTGCGCTCATTATTCAATTATATCGAAGCAATTAATTGTGCATGCATTGCCTTATTTCATTTATTCACAACATGGTCCTGTACTGTCTCATGCAGTAAACAGTAAATTCCACTGTTGCATGCATGGTGAGAAGTAGTGTAAATTGAGGGCTACATCGTGTATCTCCACTATCCACAGACAAATTTGACCAGGTCTGTTTTCTCACCCACTACGTACACCCGACTCTCTCTGTACCACCACCTGTTCCCCAACCCCATTGAGAATACAAAGTCAACCATAATCCATCTTGCATCAGGTGCTGAAAGTATATTGAAATAGAATCAAAATGTATGACAGAAATTCAGCAGATCTGTTTGCATCCAAGGAGAGAGTATCAGAGTTCATGTTTTGAGCCCACTGTGACTCTCCATTAAACATTCTACACAAACTTGAAATGTTAATTCCGTTTCTCTTTCTGAAAATTCTGCCATATCTACTGAGTTTCTCAAGGGCGCTTTGCTTTAAATTCGGATCTCCAGCGTCCACAATATTTTATCTTTTATTTCACAGTAACCATATTTCTCAAACATTTATTTACTTCAAGTGACCCTGTTGAGTCATAAAAGGTTGAATCTGTAAATGAGTAATGAATGAATATCAAATATTGACAAGTCAATGGTTAAATTCAGTTAAGAATATTTAAATAGTGAAGCACCGAAACGTTAATGGTAAGTGTGTTAAGTAATGTCTAAAGAAATGGACTGAGGAGAAGGAGAAGGTAATCCTGCTCTAGTTATTCACTATAAAAACAATATTTCAGCAAAGGAAACTAAAACTATAAACGAGGAAACCGATCTCATTTTTATTTGCACAACCACAAATGTTAATCTTAACTAAAAATAATCTGCCAAGTCATTCCAGCTTAAACAAGTCCTCTGTTCGGTGATTGGTTGAATATGAGAGCTCCCTACTGACCAATCAGAAGCTGAAGTGTGAGTTTGGGAGAATGGAATGGAGAACTGCAGAGCATTTGTGAGATTTATGCAATTATTGAGGTTTTTCAGGGGGACAAAAAGGTACATTTGTAAGCATAAATCTCAGTGAAATGGAAATCCTGAATGCACCTTATGCACATTTTCATACAGCTAGTTGTTAGCGTATGAAATGCAATCCAAGAAAATGTGGCGGAAGCAGCTCCAATTGAGGCATTCAAGAGGGCATTAATTTTTTTTTAATAATATTTTGTGCAGTGTAGGGGAAATGCAGAAGATCGACATTAGGTAATGAAGCCGCCCTAAATAAAAGAGACAGTGCAGACGCAATAAGCTGAATTTTCTCTTTCTGCATTGCAAAAATTCTGTGATCCTTTGCCATCATTAATGAAACTATTTAATAGAAATTTCAATACACTACACATGAGACTTGGTTTTGATTTTGAACTCAAAGAATTGATAGCAGTCATCAATAGCATAGGAGAAGTGGATCTGTTGCAGAAGACAGATCATTTAACCAACACACGGGAGAATTTGATTGATTTAGGAACTGTTACCCAAAGAAGAGGTGATATTAAATATTTACAGCTGTGGGATTTCTTAAATTACACTAGCCATTTTTTTTGTTGTTTCACTACTTAAATATGCTTAACTGAATTTAACATCATGGGAAATAGCACCCTAGTTTACAGTACATACCTGAACCTCCTACGCTATTGTCATGGAGAGGGTCCTTAACTTCCACCAGATATTTACATGTTCGACCTCGTAAGATGCTTACATTCCACGACAGAGTTGGAAGAGCAAAGAGAACACTGCATACTCTTTTCCCAGAACACAACAGATGGGCATTATGAAATATTTCTTGAATCCCTAGCTTTTAAAATATTTCTGAATTATATGAGCACACTGCAATCGTGTAAATACATTTCTCAGTGAGCCAGAATTACGTGGGCAGTGCATGAGATGAAAGAAAGATCCTTGTATTCCAGTTGACTCTTTACAATGAGGAAAGTTATTTGAAAATACATGCGTCTATACCGACCAGGTTTCCTCAACTGAACTGTGCTTGACCAATATCCCACTAAATCTTTCCGATCCATGCACTTGTGCAGACTGAAAACTATCTAATTTGGAAAGTAAATGAGAAAGTGTATGCATCATCAGTATCAAGAGGTAAGCAAACTGGAAATGATTATAACTCAAACACTGAAGCAGAATTATGGAAATATAGAAAGCAGGTCCAGAACTAGGCCAATTGTACTTTCAAACTTGCTCCACCATCCAATACGATCATGATTAATCATCTATCTCATGAAATATGCTTCCTCTTGAAAGCTATAGATGACCTTGAAAATAACACACTACTTAACTTGGACCAGAGTGTAAGACCTGGGGCGGGAATAATTGGTTCTGCATACAATTTTCGATAATAATTGCTCGAAGATTTTTTTTTCCACGATTTTATATGTGTGTCATGCAGAGAATGGAAATTATTACAAGTGAAACTGGATAATTCTATGGAATATGAAAGTGGAATTCAAGGTACAGTAATACCTATTGTCTCATTACAGAGGAGAACGATCAGATAGTTTTGTGTGAGAAATGCCTAAATTGGCTAGAGAATGCAATTACAGAAGAACCGCAACTAAGTTATAAATTAAGTAATACTGAAATGCAATATTTTTAATTGTTCCGTCATTTGTAGCATATTGTAACTTTGGGAGAGGGGAGGAATGATACAGGCTAAAGTATTTTTAATTGTGCAACAGTATTTGCGCGCATTTCAGAACTCCCAGCTTTAAGAAATCAACGATAATTTGATTGGACGAATTTAAACGTGCTGCTCTTCACCAATCAGAACTTGAAATGTGGTTCGGGATCCGGACGGCCCCTTCACTACCCAGACACCATCACGTCTGATCAGACACTGAGTCAAATTGGATGGCAAGCAGCTCGGCAGGAATTGTTCCCGAATCGAATGGACATTTTAGAGAAAATAGAACAATTAACTGACATAAGCAGAGCGATTCGTGAAACGTCAAGGTATTTGCTATGTCGCAATTGCTTTCGATACAAAAGAGGACAAAACTATAAACAGAATAATTAATACTGCGGGTACGTGCTGAAATAAGGGGAATGTTTGACTCTGGAAATGAGGGATAAAATATTTTGGTTTTTAAAATGCCAATTTTTTTACTGCGTATACTCTTCTTGGAATCTAGTATTTGGAGAGATTCGTTACTCAATTCCTGAAGAACTGCAACTCGGCGCCTTTGTT